GTTACAGAAAATTTGAAGTTGGAATACCTCTTGTTGGCCGCTCATGAATGATATTGTGTTTAACATTTTTTTGTCACTCTTGAACCAAGCTTGAAAACTCGTAGCTCTTGAAAAGTTATTTTAAAGCAACTTTAGGCTAGAGTAAGAGTTTCAGACAGTTCTGGTCGATCAGTGCTCTTCATGACATTAACTCCAGAGTCTGGCCACTGCTTAACAGCTTTCCACTATACAAACAACTTTACTCAGTCTGAGTTGAAAATGTCCCTCAATGTGCATCGTAGAACCACATATGAAACAAAGGATGCTATTGCATCACTCCACAGGTTATCATGATCTTACCATGTTACGGCACTTTTACAAATGAACTGTAAACAGTCGCCCTGTGGTGCAGACTCAAATCACAAAGTTTAAATGAAAGAAGCCTGCATCAGTCTTTCTGTAGCATTGTGGGCACATGTGCAAGCGGCAGGGTCTCTGAACATTTTCTGGCCTGTGATCTTTTCAGGTGTAAAAAACCTTGTTACTACGACGATTAAAGAATTGTAATTTTCAAGCTGCTTTTATTCTTTCACAGAGGGAGCACCAGGTGCATGAAAAGGAACGTATGCTATATTTCCATCGTCACTATTTTTTGGTTAAAATACATCAAATATTAATATAGCAGTTTTACAATCAGCAAGCAAACCTGACCGGGGTCTCCCAGCACAAAGCTGTGAGTTGCTTATTTGTATTGTCGCATATGTTTCCTTGTGTATATAAATAAGATACTGATGTCACAGTCCAAGCTACAGCCAAAAAGCTCAGATCAAACACAGAAATACGCAGCACTGACGCTTGGCACTAATCAAAATTCTATGTTTTTTTTTAACAATTTACAATTAAGTGGAAAAAAAACGTTCTGTGCACTATTTATTTTATAAGACTGTTTAGACTATACTGTCTGACAGTGTGTTTTAGACATGCTTTTGTCTTTACGACACTCGTCGTGACTGTTTTTCCAAAACGGGCATTATTATTTTCAGATAGGAAAGTCTTTTGAGTAAATCTAGAGTTTCCTTTTAGCTTCATATGTTTGTATAAAATGACCTGAAAGGAAAAGTCCACCTTTTTGAAAAATAATCTCTCTGTCACCTACTTCTTGTGTGATGCACAGTTTGGTAGCGGTTTCGCTTCTCGGTGTTCAGTATTTTACAAACACCGTCGTCATGCTTTTTAGGTAATGTTACACTTTCTTGTACTGTCCATGACACACACACCTACAGTGTCGACATAGATCATCGTCAAATGATAACAAGGTTATCGAGAGGGAATGAGCTTATTCAGAAAACACTATGGCGTCAATCGAATATCTGCTGGCTGTTCAAAATGATTTACTTTTGTGAAAAAGAGTGAAACAGGGTTTTATGATAGGCTACGCAACGTTTCGGTTTAATTTCTCTCTCGTCCATTCAGTTCCTCTCTTCCCGCCAGTCATCGCTTTTTTTTCTCGGTGACGGAAGACAGATGGAGAGACGGCTCGGAGAAAAAAAAGTCCAGAAGTGCTTTGTCTCTTTCCCCCTCCTCTGCTCCCACATCTTTTTATGGTGAATTTGAGAGAAAACTAGAGAAGAGTCTCCCCACGTACGAACTCCTCTGCACTCCCCTTCCATCCTCTCACATCCTTTCATTCACACATTTTTCAACCGGCTGTTTTCTCAAGGTTTCAAATACGAATGCATGCAAATGAATACACACAGAAGACGCAGACAAATTAGCAGACCATGTCAGAATGACTGCTATAGAGAAGGTAGAATGTGAGAGACCGACCAAACACATCTAAAAACTGATAAGAAGGCTCTTTAATAGAAGACGCTCTCAGTTAAGGTTTTTGAAGACTAAACATAATGCCTTCATGCCTTTGTGCAGAACTAAGTGTTGCAAGATTACATTTGAAAGTTTTCTTCTTTCATTTAATTAAGTTGCAGCAGATTTTATGATGTCTTCTCTTCGAACTTAATTATTGACTATCTTGAAAGGACATTGCTTTATCCTAAAATATGTAATGAAATTGTAACAAGAAGGACAGAAAACATGGAATCGATCAACTCTCCGGATCTCAATGAGTAACCACAACAATGTGAAGATGACTCAGACATCAACGTCGATAATAAGTTTTATATAAGCCGGTAAATGTTTCATTGCAGCTGAAATCTTTGCATTGACGATGGAGATTTAAAGTAATGTTGTGAGAATGTCCAAACAAGACAAAGCAAGTGATCTCAAATAACATGATTTACTCATCAATAAAATATTGGCAATCATCATGCTAATGTTGAGGTTATTGTGTCAGACAGGTTGTTTAGTTACCACATCATTATCAAGTATGCATGTTAATGCTGAGGTTTCCAGCTATGAGATGTAGTCACACTGTACAAGTGACCTCAGCATTAACATTATCACCTGTACACACACACACACACACACACACACACACACTTTTG